CCCATGCCCCGCCCCGCCAAGCCCCGGCCTGGCCCGATCAACCACGCCTCGCCCCACCCCGCCCCGCGCCGGCCTGGCCAGCCGCGTCCCGCCTTGCCTCCGTCCTTAGCTCACCCGCCTCGCCGCGTAAGACCTCACTAATCCCCCCGTCTTTTGTCCCGTAAGCTATATGTTGATGATGATGGTTAATATAAAGTAATATTGCGATGAACGCAGAGCTTCACTCAGTGGATTTTTATGCTGTTATGATTTGTGATGTACTCTTTGACGCGTAGTGATAAATGATATTAAGTGTAGTGCGCAGAGCTTAACTCCCCGACCCAGCCTGATGAGAAAATTGTCGTGACGGAAATAATAGTTACCAAACATTGATGTAACGTATAGAGTAAATTTTTGTTTTTGCGAATGCACTTCCAACTAATCCATCATCCCTTTAGGATTGTTTCTCTGGCAAATATCACACACAGTACCGCCCCATGGCTAGCCGGAATCCAACCACAGCACATATAAGCAGAGAAGAAGAAGTCCTCCCTGGTCTAGGATTAAGAAGATTTTATATTTTTCTACTTTAGGAAGTTAAGGAGTGTGGAATGCAGCGCCACACAACGAACCCTGGTGAGCCCAGCCAGGGAGGGCTTCACCACTGTGGAAGGTGTAAGACAGGACGGTCTTTGGTCTCGCCGACACTCACGTACGGAGGGCGAGCCCTGGTCCGCAGAACCTGCCTTACAGTCATCTAAGGAGACGACAGCCCAAGCAGTGGACCGGCTTTCATCCCGGCCGGAGGGGGCCGACGGCAGATGAACAGAAAATCGTCTGGAATATGTTGAAAATGATGATGTTGCAGAGAAGAAATACAGATGGAGCAGAAAAATTCATCTGGAATATGACGGAAAACGAAGATGTATAAAGAAACTCAGATGAACAGAAAATTCGTCTGGAATATGAAAATGCTCTAAACGTAGAGGAAGCGCAGGTGAACAGAAAAATCATCTGGAATATTATAGAAACCAGGAGGAAGTGAGAAGAAGTCAGATGTGGTGACACGACCTACAAAGTGTGGTATTGAAGAAAGAAAGACGTGCTATGTGACGAAAGAAGGCAGAAGACGTACTGTGCTGACATCAGAAGAAAGTCGACGATGAAAAGGTGGATCATCAGAAGGACCAACCGACCACCGCTGTTGTGCTGCCGGCATTCCCTATTTTCAGAAACCAGCTGGACGGAGGACTTGAGCCATGCTGGACCCAACAAATGTACTGATGTTGTTGATGTTGTTGATGTGTAATAAAAAGATATAACACCCTAACACGTGAAGTAGGAGCATTTTTTTTATGTATTTGAAGTATTTCATTCTCTGATTTTTGTTAACTTGTACTACAAAGAATGTTTTTTTTAAAGATTAGTCACTTTTTCTATGAGTTCATTTGATCAATGTTTTGTATTACCAAATGCAATGTTGTAGACATACTACTGAGTGGGACGAATTATTATTTTGACACGGCCTGGTTAGGCAATGTAACACCTGTTTTTGTTTGTAGAATGTGATTTGCAAGTTTGCCTCGGACACTATGCTAGATATGAAGGATCTTTAGATCACTCTATGTTCACTTACTGTGTATGTATTTTATTTTTTTCTCCTGTCATAGAAGCTTTAATCTTGGCGGGAGGTATAGTAAGCTTTGTCAGATCAAACTATGCCAGTAGAAAAACATACATCTCTAGGGTTATAATTTGTAACATGTAAGGATGCATTATCGCCTCAGGGACTATATTAGATACTGCACATGATGTTACTGTCTACTTTAAATGTGTCATCAGTTTTCTGAGCATGAAAGCTTTGGTCTTGGCGGAAGGTGTAGTGATGGGTTGTCAGACCACAGCTTACATCTCAGAAACAGTCCAGACTTGACCCGACATTAGGGGGGTCAAGTGTAAGGGCATCCCTCGCGGCTGCTCAAGGGTGTTACAAATCAACTAGCTCCCCTTCCCATGTCACACGGCCCCAACAAACATGTAAGAAGGCACCGGCCGACTCTCTCCCAATATACACAATAACCGACACCGCAGAAGAAGTCCAGACCTGACCTCACATTAGCCAGGTCAAATGTAACCCTCGAGCCCTCTCATGTCACACGGCCCCATCTGAAGATTTCTCCAGAATATACAACTTATAGTCTCTGAAAAAGTCCAGACCTGACCCTACATTAGCGAGGGCAAATGTAAGGAGACCCTTCGCCGCCCCCCCAATCAGCTCAACCTGACGGCTCGCCTCCCAATATATAGGACGTCCTAGTCCTCCCTCCGCCAGAGTGAGAGAGAGAGAGAGAGAGAGAGAGAGAGAGAGAGAGAGAGTGTGTGTCTTGTAAGGAGGAAGGGCCAGCCACTACACCACCAGGCCTGCTCGAGAGAAGTCAGGGGCCGGAGGCAAGCCGCCTCCGGTCGCCTCCGGTCAGGAGCGAGTTGCCCTCGACACACCGGTGCCCAGCTAAGCAGTCTC